TTAAGTACAGTATGAAGTATTGAAGTATTCGTACTTTGTTACTTGACCCCTCTGAATAAAACGTCCTCTAAGGAGAAAAAATAAGAAGAGTAGAACACAGTAGAACGATTTATGAAAATAATGCCAATGGCTGCTTTTGAAACAGACAGAAACAACCAGGTTCTGATCAAATGCTGGCATGAGATTAGAATAGTTTAGTTGGACCCAAGATGGTACATGTGGCATTGATTAATTCGTCGGGTGTTAACCATTGATAGAGAACTCAGTGAAATACTTTGAAAATCTACGTTTCCAGGCAATAGTGTTGTTGGAATCCAGGATAAGACCTTATTATCTTTGTAACATTTAAAAAATATGGAGATTTTCAGTAATTAATGTCAGTGTAATGAAAAGAAACGCCAACTTGCCCGAATATATTAAGAAAAATATCAACAGTTCTTGTATAAGAAATTCATGAAAAAAGCTCGGAGTGAAAGAAACTAATTTTTTGGTCCAACATAACCTTAGAGGCACTAATGCTGATACTGGCACTGAAATTATTTACTGTATAAACCTAAATATAAATGTTAACTAGGCTTGTTAACTTTGTTTTTTAAGAAATCTGCCAAGGACATACCACCCCCCTGAAGTAGTTCTAATATGCACCTGATAAATAAATAAACTGAACATTATTGATCTCACATTGGAGAAATTTATCTCTGCATTTAACCCATCCCCTTAGGGAGCAGTGGGCTGCCATCGTGCGGCGTCCAAGGAGCAGTGTGGGGTTAAGGGTCTTGCCCAGGGACCCAGAGTGGGGAGTGGGGGAATCAAACTCCCAATCTCAGGATTCAGAGCCTTATGCCCTAACCACTAGGCCGCCACTCCCGCCAATGCACGAATTATTGTACTGTCTGCACGCTCTCACTCCCATTAAAAGAAACACCTCCTCGCATATTTAGGAGCTTCACAGCCCCCCTCCTCACCCACGCTCTCTCCATTGATATCCTGGTCGCCATCTTTTCTCACTGTAGCAGCAACGTCCTCCTCGTGTTTATTTTGGGAAGTTTTTTTCGTTCTTCCAGCAGCTCTTCTTTCCTTTTTCTTTTCTGGAATCCACCTAATCCACCTATCCACCTCTTTTTGGTATCCATCATCTCTAACACATTGTACGTAAAGCTTTATGGTTTAATCTGAGCTCTGGGTTACCCATAATTCCAAGTCGTGGTGTAAAAAATAATACACTCAAATACAT